ATGAGGGCAATGAATGTACAAATGCGCTTTACACAATTGATGTGTGTTTGGATTGTGATAAGAGTTGTATGAGCCCCTAATAAAATGATTAAAAAGAAAGAAAGCATTTGTAGTAAGAAAAAAAAACACATCCGAACTCACTGCCATCTAGGCAATAGCAACCCTATAGTAACGTATAGGACAGGCTAGAACTGCCTCTCTGGGTCTCTGAGACTAACTCCTTATGGGAGAAGAAAGCCTTGTCTTTCTCCCACTGCTTGACTTGGAGGGAAATTTAAAAAATGATAACTCTTTTAGCATTGTTTGCAGTAGATCATCTAAAATTATTGTTAAGCAATTAGCCTGTCTCTTATGAGAAAAACTCAAGACTTTGTCTGTTTATAGGAGTAGTAAGGTTGATTATACAACTTAGTGACCAGTCAAGCTATAGCAATTATTATAGATTGGTATATTTACTTCCTACTTGCTAAAACATACCAGCCTCAGTTTTGCAATGGTGAATATGCCTTTCTAGGGAAAGTTAGTAGCACTTATTTTTTCTTTGTAGATTCTGTTGCAGTTTCATTGAAGTCATCTAGTGAGCATCTCCTTTCTGTTGTCTATTGATTAATGTGCCAGATCATTTTCTTTGAAGTTATACTGTCTAGCTCATCTAATAAACTTTGTACTTTCTAGTGGCGAGTGAGGAAAGAGGCTATGATGGGTCTTGCTCAGCTTTATAAGAAGTACTGTCTTCATGGTGAAGCAGGAAAGGAAGCTGCAGAGAAGGTCAGCTGGATAAAGGACAAACTTCTGCATATTTATTATCAGAATAGCATCGATGACAAGTGAGTCTGAGCCTAATGTCAAGCCTAATGGTTGAATGGAAAACTGTATTTTTTAACTGCAATTTATTTCTACTTAATATTTTCATGCAATTTATCTTTAAGTTTAGAAATCACTTTCTGCATATTTGTAGATATAGTTTAAATAAGATTTAATCAGATTATAAGGTAGCAGAATACTGTGGTAATATATACATGGGATTTGAAGTCAAACCGGCCTGAGACCAGAAGTTAATTCTGTCCGTGTTAGCTGTGTGCTCTTGCGTACTCCTTTCTGTGACCCTCTATAATATCTTAAAGGTAGAATATTAATTGCTTCTCAATCAGCATTCTTTATATAAATTATTAAAACAATGGGTCTATAGCTACCTAGCTCAATGCATGGCAATACAGCACTATTTAATAACTCATAGTTACTGTTTTGCTTTTTGCAACACTATTAATACCAATAGCAAAATTACTATGTTGTTTTTATCTTCTGGGTGTTACTTGTAATTGTATATTGAACTTTACTAATTTTAACCATTGTTTTTTCTATTAGACTGACACCTTTAGTATCTGTCAATAGGGATTTCATAGGTCAATGATATTGAATGATGGGCAGAAACGTAGCCAGAGTAATATGCCAATATTGGTGAGGCGTTGATGCCAGGGAGAAAAGGAGACCAGCTGTCTACAGGAAGAGCTAAATTATCAGGGACTGATACAAATTTGTTTTTACTAAATGACAGCTTCGTTTAAAAAAAGCTGAATTTCAATCAGGGAAATGGATTTTTCTTGAGAAATCACTGTGCTTGGGACCATAGCTTTATATGCAGTACTAAATAATTTAATACAGCTCTCTGAAGTGTTGAAGAATAGATGAACAGTGATGAACAGAATAGATGAAGAATAGTGCCCCATATTCAAGAATGACATAGCCCTTCTGGAAGAAATGTTTCCTGTGGGCAAATCAAATGTGAATATTACAGTAATCATAGCACAGATAGTTAAGTTTTAAAATATCTATTTTCTCCAGGAACAGAGCTGATAGTATGTTGGTCTTTTCCATTATATTTGTCCATATAGTTAATACCATTGGAATGCTTACATTTTATGAGGTGGTAAAATGGTTTTAAATGGTTATAGCTTTGTAAAAATTAGATTCTTTTGTTTGTTTTCCCTATTAAAGGCTTTTGGTAGAGAAAATCTTTGCTCAGTATCTTGTCCCTCACAATTTGGAAACAGAAGAAAGAATGAAATGCTTATATTATTTATATGCTAGTTTGGATCCAAATGCTGTAAAGTAAGTTACTTTTAAATTGACTATTTCAAGTATCACCTAAGGATGTCACAAAATTACTTCACCTAATCTAAGAAATTGTGTTTGATGGGTTGTTGTTTTTTCTAAGGGAGTTGATTGTGTCAGATAAATACTTGTGAGATAAGAAATTATTTAAATTCTGGTCAGTTGAAAATGGAAATTGTTCTATATGAATGGGATCATATATAGGTTGGAAGGATGATTCCAGGGACTCTTTGATTTCCTCGTGCAAAAATAGGTTTTGTTTGCCTGCTGCTATTTTGTCTTTTAGTATGATAGCTTTATCCTTCTGGCTTAAGGTATTGATTTTTAAAGTGGAGAACTTATCCATATCAGTTCTAAGTAGGATAACCATATAATTGACTGTCCAAACTAGGGTTTATTTATTTATTTATTTCAGAGTGATGGAAGCTACTGTTAATGATTTCTGCCAGAACAGCTGACTTAAAGTGGAACTATCCCAGACAAAGCAGGATGTGTTTCACATCACCTTAATAAGGCTTTTAGGAAGCCTTGATTCTTTTGGGGTATTAAGACCATTAGCCTCTGTGTGTGTGTGTGTGTGTGTGTGTGTACATATATCTATATATGTGTTAGTATAACTTAATTTTGATGTAATTTCACCTTTTAAAAAATGATACAATCATTTTCATATGCCTATATCCTGTCATTAAATACTTCAGTAGGGATAAACTATTCTCTTACATAACAATTACTAGAGTCCATTAGCAAATCAAGAAATTTAGTGTTTCTGCAATAGTACTATTTAATTCAAGTTTATATTCAAATTTACTCATGTTCAACGAATGTCCTTTAATGAGTATGATTTTTTTCAGGCTAAGATTGATTATACATTATGTTTAGTAGTCATGTGTCTTTTGCTCTCCTTTAATCTGGAATCTTTCCTGGGTCATTTGTCCTTTTTATTACTTTGACATTTTTTGCAAGGGTATTACATAGAACAGTTGTGGCTTCCTGCCCCCATCCCTCCTCGTAGTCATCAAAATCTTGCCTATTGGTATATAAAACCATGTTTCTTCTTCTTTGTTTTTCCTTGTAACAATGGTGATACTAAATATTTATCTTTGTAAGATTGACTGAGATTGCTAAGCATAATGTTCTCTAGTTTTTCCATGTCTTACAGTTTTTTATTTGAATCTATATTACTTTGAAGAAATTCTTTTTTATCTATACCGTAGTTCATAGCTTTTCATAAAAAACACTCTGTGTTCTGTTTCTTGTCTGTGGTAGACTCCCGCTTCCTTATGCTCCCACCTCTTATGCTGTGCTCTTCAGTGTCCTGTCCTACCTGTACCATGTGCTTTGATCATGTTGTCTCTCCTTATACCAGAACTCGTTACTTCTGCTTAGCATGAGCTTCTTTCAGGGTTGAAAGATTCTGTTTATCCTTCTAAACTTCTCAAACAGCTTCTTTCATAAATAGCTGTGTATTTACCATTTTATACTAATCTATCTCAAATGTTAATAAATAAACTTTCTGGTGCTAAAAAGATTGTAGAAGAATGGTGTATAGAAGGCATTCTTATAATAAAAAAGACAGTAAAGCTCAATATTAGTTTCCTTTTTATAGAAAGCAAGTTTTTTATGCTTGTATCTTTATTTACAGAGCTCTTAATGAAATGTGGAAGTGTCAGAACATGCTTAGGAGTCATGTACGAGAACTGTTGGATTTGCACAAGCAGCCCACAGTAGGTTCATGATTTGTCTAAACTCCGTGTTTATTTTAGTCAGTGTTCAATGTTTATGTGGACTGTATACTCTGGCAAATCAAGAGTACTTTAGAGGGGCAGACAACAGAAAAGTGGGTGAATGGAGACATTGGTTGGTGGAAGGCATAAAAAAAAAAATTAGAAATTGTCAAGGGTTCATGAGGAAGGGAGGGTGGGGGAAGGGCGGAAATGAGCTGATACCAAGTGCTCAAGTAGATAGAAAATATTTTGAAAATGATGATGGCAGCTATGTACAAATGTGCTTGACACAATGGATGAATTGTGATAAGAGCTGGAAGAGTCCCCAATAAAATGATTTTAAGAAAGGGAAAAAAAAAAGAGTACTTTAGATGGTTTACTTCTCTAAATGTTAAATATAATTTCTATACTCCAGAATAACATTCCATTTTAAGTTAATATAACCAACTCTTATTTCTTTTTTTGAAGTCAACTGATTTTCCTCTTAGCTAGGGCATTTTTTTTCCCTTGCCACTTATTTTTTTAAATCATTTTATGTGATAAGTCTTACAGGACTTATCACACTCCATACATACATTATGTGAAGCACCTCTGTACATGTCCAACTCTTATTTCTAGTGCATATAAAGAAAAGTTTTCTGGCTGTTTTACATTTTTAGACACTGGAATTTTTATAAAATTTATTAATTTTCAAATAATTCAAATTAATCTTTAAAATGGCATTAGAAGTCCTTTTTTTCACTTTATGACTCTTCATCTTTCAGTAGTCATTGTCACACTGGGTTTCAGTTCTGCAAATATATCAGTATTAATAAACAAGATCTGTCCACTGTATTTGAGTAATTCTCTGTAAACTTATAAGTGTTTTGGCTATAACATAGCTCCCTAACTAGAGCACCATAGACATACTCCTAAAGGGGCTGGGAGGGGGGCGGCGCGGAAACAGGAATTGGCCAGATGGTCACTTGTGAGCCAACTCCTCTGACCAACAACTCTACTCTGTAGTGGTATGAAAGCAATCATAGACAGTATGCAGAATCTAGTAGCCAGTGACAAAGGATCTGTCGTTTATCAACTCCTTGTCCAAATTACTTAAATTTCATACAAATACAAATAAGTAATAAAGTTATCCTTTATTGTAGTGAGAGAAAGGAAAGTAACATATGGAGAGGGAGATTATCCTGAGGATATTTACATAATGGACCCAAAAAAGCTAATGGAACTGTATTACAAAAGAAAACTTCCACTCTTCACATTTTAAATTAATTTTCTGTGTTTTGTAGTTTCACAGTGAATTTGAATTCTATTCAGTTATTTAATTGAATTCCCTTCTGGCAATCTTCAGTTCAATCTTCTGACAAGATAACCTCCCTGTGGATGTTATGTACTTCTTATACATCTTTAACACCTTTCTCTAACTTGCCCTTTCGTTCCATTTGTTTTCATAGGTGCTGCTACTCCAAAACTCTTTGTTACGTTCTGTTTAGATAGTGATGAATTGCTGTTTATGAAACATACAGTCTTGAGAATTGTTCTTATAGAAATTGATTAGCCTGTATAACCACTGTTTTCTTTTGTTTGTTTTAAATTTCAGTCAGAGGCTAACTGTTCTGCTATGTTTGGAAAACTGATGACCATAGCAAGTGAGTCTGTTTATTCATTAAGTAGAATTATATTAACCACCACGAGCATGCAAGTAATTTACCAATGGGACTATCAGTATAACACTGAGAACATAATCCTACGTAATTTTATTTCTAAAAACTGTTCCTCTGATTTTCTTTTAAGAGCCCAGTATTATTTTTAAGTTGACTTGTTTTCACTTGTTATAGATTAATATTCCTTTAGTAATGTTAATTCTTTTTTAATTTCATAGAGAATCTGCCAGATCCTGGAAAAGCACAAGACTTTGTGAAAAAATTTAACCAAGTTCTTGGTGATGATGAAAAGCTGCGATCTCAATTGGAGTTATTAATCAGCCCTACCTGTTCATGCAAGCAGGCAGATATTTGTGTGGTTAGTAACCTGTACTTTTACATATGTCCTCCTAGCTTTATATATTGGTTTTTTTTCTTTAAAGCCTGTTATTCATACAATGTTATGTTCTATGTGATTTCAGTAATATCTTAAATTCTGCACTTCCTTCAAAAAAATCAAACTCTACTTCCATGAAGTCAATTCTGACCCATAGTGACCCTATAGGGCGGGATAAAATTGTCCTGTGGGTTTCCAAGAGTATAACTCTATACAGAATTAGAAAGCCTCATCTTTCTCTTGCAGAACAACTAGTGGTTTTAAACTGTTGACCTTGAAGTTAGTAGGCCAGCAAGTAACCCGCAGTTCCCAGGTCTCCTCTGTAGTACCTAGGGATATATTATCTATGTTAGTTAATTATTTTTTCTCCATGGGAAAAAAATAAAAAATGTGAAACTAAGCCAGCATAGTTGGTCCTTTGAATTTCAGGAATAGCGTGCATTGTATTTAGCATTCATTGATAATGAATGAAAAGAATTTTCTGCAGACTTAAAAAAGTTGGTGGAAATGGTAATGCAAAGATAATTGACATTTTCCATGAACTTTTTGAAGTCCTCTCCTTTATTATTAAATCAACAATAGCCACATGGCCATATATATGGTTTCATTTCTAGGTTATATAATTATTTTTTTGAGCTTTGACTTCGTATTATTCTTCTCTCTCCCTCCCTCCCTCCCGATATTCTTGTATTCCATAGTTTATAGAAAATTATGAGGAAGGAAATATTCATCCATTCATTTATACAATATTTAATAGGATGAAGTCCTTGGTTTGAATTTTATCCATATTGTTTGCTACCATTGTGACCTTTAGTAAATTTCTCAATATTTCTGAGCCTCATTTTCCTTATTGACATTTTCTTATTTAAATATTACCAACTTAATAGGATTTTTAAGAGAATCAGGTAAAATGAAATACTTTTAATTTAAATTGCCTAATACAGAACTTCACGCTGCGCTATAGTATTTAAACAATGATAGTTCTTATGACATTACATATAAAGAAATAGAATTGTTATAATAAGGTTTGTCTGATTTTGTCCCAGAAATTATTAGAGTTGGGTACTTATTAAAAAATACATAATAAGGACTGTGATAGATGTAAATATATGTATAAGTGGTCTAATTAGCATTACAAAGGTATCTTTATTTCAGTATATAGCATACAATGACTCTGAGTCTTTAAAAGACCAGTAATTAAAAGGATATGGGGAAGTTTTTTGAAGATGGAGCAGTGAACTTTTCTATCAACATCCAGGAATGTGGATCAGCTTAGTACCCAGCAAACAAACAAAAACAAAACCTCACACCATGGGGTCCACGCCAGCTCACAGCAACCCAGTTCACAGGGCAGAACTACTGCTCCTGTGAGTCTTCAAGGCTGTGACTGCTCAGGGCAGCGGTTCCCAACCTGTGGGCCGCAACCCCTTTGGGGGTCAAACGACCCTTTCCCAGGGGTTACCTGATTCATAACAGTAGCAAAATTGCAATTAAAAGTAGCAACAAAAATAATGTTATGGTTGGGGGCTCACCACAGCATGAGGAACTGTATTAAAGGGTTGCGGCATTAGGAAGGTTGAGAACCACTGGTTTAGGGGAATAGAAAAAGCCCCATCTTTCTCCCACAGAACAGCTAGCAGTTTCAAACTATGGACACTGGGATCACAGCCCGATTCATATCCATTACACCACCAGGGTTCCTGCCTAGTACTCAGGCTGCCTAAATAGCAAACCAGACTTGGGTAATTTAATGAGCACACTTGAAAGTCTCGTTTGGAGGATGGCTCTGGGCCAGATTTGTCCTTCATGCGATGGTTTTAGGATATTTAAAATTTTAAAACTTCATTTACACTTTGGTAGTTTGCATTTCAGTACCAATACCTAATAAAGTTAATTAGTTGATAGGTTGATGTAGCTGGAAGACACCTGGAGATCATTTGGTTAAACCTACTTATTTTATAGATAAGGACAGGACATGGGGTTTTACAGATGTGAGGGTTCTCATTCTGTGTTCTTGGTGGTTATAGTGGGTGAGCTGCAGGCAAAGCCTTAACCCCTTAAGCTTTCGACACAGGACATCATTCTTTACAAGAGCCAGTTCTGAACACTGCTCAAGAAATAGGAGCTTGAAGAACATGCACATGATATTTACTTATGGCGTGAAAGAAATAGAAATTGAGGTTGTGTTTAAAAAAATGGCACTGAAGTGAACTCTACTGTTTATTAGACCAGAAAGATCAAAGCTTTCTAAATCCAAAAAGTATATATGCAAACAGATGTCTTGTTACCAAAATATCTGGGGATGAGCGGTACAGCCATGCAGTGCAGCCACACAGCGAGCACGATTTTGGGAATTCTGAAGTCCCTTTAGAGACAGGGATTTTGTTGCTGCTGGAAAGAACATGGTAATGATACTTTGCCCCTATCTCTGTCATTCTATGTGACTTGAGCACATTATTTAACTTATCTTAATATTCTCTTGCGAGAAGTTGTACTAATAATATCTTTTGAACATGCAGGAAAACAGCTACTGTTAGAAAAAGTTCATGCCACTTTCCAGAAAACTGTCTCCATAAGGATTGCTGAACATCCTTTGTGTAGCTAATGTGTTTCCTTCTGAAGTAGAAGAAATGGAGAAGAAATATGCAAACAACTAAATTTCATATGTATCTTCTGTGCAGCCTTCATCTCATCTCTGAGATACTCTTCTCTGCCCCTAAATAGCAATCACCTCCAAGGAGGCAAATGTTAGTCTTAAGACAGTTAGTGGGAATGAAGAGATCAAATATTTTCCTTCTCTGCCCTACTTTGACTTCTGAAATTTTTTTAGCAAAAAAAATTGTGTGAGCAAGAAATAGCAATAGAGACAAACTATGGGTGAGAGAAGTATTACTGAAATATGATGTTGTAAGATTTGCTTTCTCTTTAGACTTAAGGTTTTGGTCCTGTATTTGCATTCATCTCTCCTTGCCTTTTTATGCTCCTGTGTCTTCCTATGTGGCTGCTGTACCAGACACACCAGCAGTACCATAAAAGAAAGGTCTAGAGACTTATTTCTATAAAGATTACAGCCAAGCTCAGTCCTACTCTGTAACTCAGAATCACCATGAGTCAGAATTGACAATGCCAATGCATTTGGGGGTTTTGTTGTTAGTTTTAAATTTTGCCTTACTAAAACAGTGATTCCCAAAATTTAAGAACTTCAGAAACTTGTTTATTCCACATTTAATGAGGCAGTCTAAGATTTGAGTTTCAGCTACACCATGCTGTCATCACTGGTCCTCATTTTCCTCCTCAAAGGATTTTTAATACAAGACCTGCATGGCTCTGTAAAGTTTAAGTAAATAGTTTTTACAGCATTAGCAATATGAGGGGGGCTTTGAATAGCTCATGGGAAACTTTTTGACAAGCATTCAGGATTCTTAGGATAGTTATGAGCTAACATGATGAATCACCAACTTTTAACAAAGTCTCAAAATGATTTTGAGCTAATTGTTTTCAGACCACACTTAAAATTCATCAGGTTGGCAGGTGCATTGTACCTTCAAAAATCCCAATACTATTTTGTTTCTTTGATCAAGAATATAGTTTTAAAATACAGTTCATACAGAAAGTTGTTTGTGCATGGTTTCTCAAAAGCTTGCAGATTAAATGGGAGGCAGGCATATGCTTCCATAGAGAATAGTCTGTGCTACAGTAGAATTGTGTGCTTCAGCCACAAAAGAGTAGCACCCACTCCCCATGGGGATGGGTGTGGTTGAGGGACTGCCCAGTCTAGAATAAGGCTTAACCGTGAATAGGAATTAGACCAGTGTCAAGAATGACTGGCATACTTCTAGTTTGGGTGGTTCGATATCAGAGGAGGTGCTTTAGGATGGGAAATAATGCCTCTCGGCAATTGTGTTTAGAAGTCTGAAACAACCTGATTCCAACTGTGAAAAATAACTTAATATTGAATCTCATTAGCAATCATTTTATATTATTAATCATTTGATTGGGGGGGGTAGCAGTCATTTTAATTACCAGGTTAAAAAAAAATGAGGGGAAATAGTATGAAAAAATGAGAAATGAAAATATATGAAGAAGAAAGGGCGGGTGTGTATGCATATAGCATTGTAAAGCTTCCTTAATTTTATAATCAATTGATTTTTATAAACTTACTCAATGACATATTAGAAATAACTAACCTGCAGTAATAATCAGCATAGATTTGATCAGAAATTTCTTCACTGTTGTCAGGAATAAAGAAACTTTATTCTTTATTCTTTATTTATTCTTTTAACTCTTTCTGCCAGCTATCTTTGTCTATATTCTCTAAGGCAGGGGTCCTAAAACTACGGCCCGTGGGCCACATGTGGCCCGCCGAGGACATTTATCTGGCCTGCCGGGTGTTTTTGCCCCATTTCTCTTTTTACTTCAAAATAAGATATGTGCAGTGTGCATAGGAATTTGTTCATAGTTTTTTTTTTTTAAACTGTAGTCTGACCCTCCAACGGGTCTGAGGGACAGTGAATTGGCCCCCTGTTTAAAAAGTTTGAGGACTCCGGTTCTAAGAGCTACATCATCCTCATTCTAGTTACGTTTACTCACTTAGTTTTTCCACTGTAACTTGTTAGTTTTAAATATGTATGTATTTGAAGTGCATACAGGTATTTTTTATTATTAAATGTATAAAGATCATTTATGTGTTCCTGCTTACCTGCTACAACCTAATTTCATTTAGGAATTTCCGCTGTGTATCCCCAATATCGCTTAAGATTAGCACACACTTAATACATTCAAATAATTATTATGAGAGATTACTTAAGTTTTACCTGCATAAAATCATGGAGTGTTATGTGAATACTAAGATGATTACAAGGGAACATAGGAAGCTCTGGCTTTGTCTAGTATTATGCTTATGTGTAAGGGTACTTCATAAAATGCTGTTACTATTTATCCTCTTACCATTTTTTATTCTCATTTATGCACATGCATAGTGCCATGCCTACTTTTCCCTTGTATTAATAATTTAATCCGGCGTATTTCAAGGTATTCTCAGATTACCTTATAATCAGGTAGGCATTTTCCAATAAACATATTGGTTGTTAGATAATCACTGACTTTAATCTTAGTGTCTTGGTTTTCTCATGCTGCTGTAACAGACAAACAAATGAGTGGCTTTAAAAAATGAGTGTATTTTTTCACAGTGTCAAATGTTAGAAGTCAGAATTCAGGATTACTGTTGACTCTGGGGAATTGAGCTTCTGTTCCCTGGTGTCTTCCACTGGCATGGATGTTCCCCTCATTTGTACTTACTTGGTCTCTGCCTGTCAACAGGGTCTCATTAACCTAGTAATTCTGTCCTCTAATGGGATTACATCCACAGGTATAGGGATTACCATTCTAACCCTTAGGTTAAAACAATTAAGGTGTATACTAAAGAAAAATGTTTATTTCAATAGCTAGTATTGTCGACATTCATCATTTACATACATATCTTGGCTAGAAGTATACAAAAAGTAAGCACTGAATGAAACTTATTTTCTCAAATGCTGAACATCACTCACTTAATTGCAATTTGCTAAAATAAACTAGACCTTTTATAATGAATAAAATTCTCTTCAGAGCCAGTCCTTTGTTTCTTTTCTCTCATGTCTTCTTGATATATGTGAGACTTAGGGGAAAAAATTGCGGGAAAATGGAATTAAAAGATATGGAGGTTTTCCCCAGACTTCCCCCCACCCCCCAACTTTTTGAAGCCTCTTTATTTATCCCTAAAATAGTAATTTTTGTGGGAAAAAACCCTGATAAATATCACTACTGCTTTGTAGTTTGGAAAAAAATTTTAATTGCTATAAAAATATACATTTCCCAATTTAACATCTTTCCAGATGTACAATTCATCACATGGTAACCATCATCAATAATCGTGTTTAGAAACACTGGTGCATTATTTTTTCAGCTAAAATTTCTATATCCCCAAAAGAAGTATTTGTTTAAAAGCCTTGTTATTAGAGGAAGTTTCTTTCCCTAGTACCTAGCACATTGTCTTTTTGTAGGAGTTCTTTGATATAATACCAGTGTGTTTGAACTTAAATTGAGAAAATTATTTTTACTTTCAACTCTGTCAAACAGCTTCTAGTTTTTATCTAAATTATGAATAATTAAAATGCAAGGGAATATAGGATGTTCACCTATCCCTCCACTATTTCTTTCAGAACTGCAAAAAAACAAAAACAAAACTTTACAAATACATAAACATTTATAACTCATCATCTTTCCTCCTTTTTAAGAAGAAATTAATAGCTCAAATAAAATATAATCTGTCCATTATAAAAATATAAGCCAATTGAACATACTTCTAAAATGTAAATTGTTTTCAATTTTTTCAAAAGTACTGTATAAAGCCAGGTTTGTTATACTAAATAGTCTCATAGGAGAAATAATGAAAACATAAATATAACAGAAACCACATTCTCCTTTTCTGCTCTTTACAATCCAGAATTTGTAGTCAATTTTCAATGTTATTATTAGATACCATCCAGTTGGTTTTGATGCATATCAACCCTGTGTATAATAACAAAACAGAACAAAATACTGCCTGATTCTATGCCATGCTCACAATGGTATAAATTATAAAGTATACATTAAAAAAAAAAAGGAAAAATTTTAGTTCTTTTGTTTCAAATCTGTCAAATGCTTTTGGTATCTACAATCATTTTAATATTGGGAGGAAAAAGAAGCATGAATTTGAATCATACTTACGTGAACTTCCTTCCTATAGAGAGAAATTGCTCGGAAACTTGCAAATCCTAAGCAGCCAACAAATCCTTTTCTAGAGATGGTCAAATTTCTTTTGGAAAGAATTGCACCTGTGCACATTGATTCAGAAGCCATAAGGTAAGCTAGGAAATATATCTCACTCAAAAAATGATCTATGATATGAACTTATAATGTGAAATCCTGGGTTTTCAGGGAAATCTAATAAGTTTCCTATTATTTTTTAATTGCAAAAGCATACATCTTTCAAGTTGAGAGATTTGTAAAGCTATCAAGCTACCTCCAATTCTTAATCATTTCAAAGACCACATAATACTTTAGTATCTATTATGCCACTGTTCATGTTGGGAAGTCGAAATCATATACCTCTATATTACTTACTATCTTTGTGACTTGAAGAAGCCCAATAATTTTTCTGGATTTTAACTTATTTACAACTTTAAAATGCTTATAACATTGTTTTTAATAGTAGTAGAACTATAGTTTCCTGAATTTCAGTTATTTGAAATAATTTTGTATTGTAAATGCTTACTGTGCAACCATTTCTCTTGTACTAATTATCATGTGTCATTTTGTCTATATTGGGTTGTTATACACAATTTGTCGACTTCTCTGACCAAACAGCCTAGAATTTAGAGCCCTGGTTCTAGTGTCAGGTCTCTAGTAATTTTACTTTATGTAAATCACTGTGGTGGTTATCTCAAAATGCTGCTATTCTTTTTGACTTAGGTTTTTTCATCTCTAATATCTGTCCCTTGAAAATAATCATTTGCAAATGAAAACTAAAATTCTGAGGGATAACATGCTTTGTACATACCTTGGTGTAATGGAGGAAATCATTCTTCAATTTATTATTTTCCCTGTTAGTAATCTTTCCTCTGTACTATTTTAATCAGACAAATCAAGGATGAAATAGTAGAAATAAGCTCCCTCACCTCTGAGTACTGACTTTGAAAGAGATGTCATGTCATCAGGAAGCCCTTGCTATTTACTTTCCAAGAAACCCTGTAGTATCACTACTTCGGTAGATTAAAGTACACCACTGTTTGAGCTCTACTCTTCTAAGACCCCAAATTTAATTTTCTCAGTAGCATTATGAATTGCTTGGACTTAGAAAAATGGATTTATGTTAGCATTTCTAAAAGACTAATTTACGTAAATGTCCATTAATGTTAATGAAATAAATATATCTTACAATACTCTTTCCTGGAATCCAAATCTATATGAAAAATTTTTATCAACAGTTGCTTTTGTTACTTGCTCTCAAGTTGCCAACAACTGAAGACAACCCATGTATCATTGAGGGCTTTCTCCACTTCTGCTGACCCTTGATTTTACCACACTTGCTGATTTTTTTATTTAACAATTAATTACTCTTTCTAACGATATGTCCAGAATTGCTAACCAAAGTCTCATCATTCTTGTTTCTAAGAAACATTCTGGTTATATTTCTTCTGGGAGTGCATCGCATGTTGAGTATATTTTGCCAACACCACAGGTCAAATGTATCCACTTCTATTCTGTCTTTCTCATTTACTGGGAAAATGGGTAAAGTACATTGGGCAACTCTGGAGGAAGGTTACACACCCAGTCATGCAAGTTGGGTTTGTAGTGGGGAAGGTTTCTGAAGTAGGTGGCACTAAGGTGGATTTACCAACTAAAAGATTGCTACCAACCAAAGGGTAGTCAGGTCACAAGACTGTGTCTTTGGGTGTATTACATAAGCTACTTTAAGCTTCTATTTCCTCATCTTTAGAATAAGGGCAATAATTACTACTAGCATAGAGTTGTTTTGAAGCTTTGAAAAATATGCCTGTATAAACATTTAACAGTGTCTGATACATTGTAAATGCTGAATAAATGTTAGTATCTTTTCTATGAACTGGAGTATCTTAGTGGTGGTCCACATGGTTAATGTGCTTGGCTGCTAACCAAGAATTTCATAGGCTGCTTCAGAAGATAAGTCTGGTGTTATGCTTTATGAGTTGGAATCAACTCAGTGGCAATGGTTAGTCTGTAAAATTCGGAAGAATGTCTTATCACAGAAACCAAACAATGGGTTAGATTCAACCCAGGAATCAATTAAATTAGTATTCCAGTTACCTCACACTGCACTATGACTATTTTCATCTTATCACGTTTCATATGCACTACATACATTGTTACATTATTGTTGTCAGGTATTTACTTGAGTTAATTGATGTTATGATTGTTCAAAGCACTGCTGTGTAGCAGGCAATAATGAAAAAAGATAACTAGGTAATTGATGTCTGTCAGAACTTAAAATCGGGTCATTGTGGTGGGAACCCTTTTATAAGTTGGAAATGCTTACATTAGAGAAATATTCAATGGATTAGGAAAGCCTGAAAGGGGGAGGTGGGTAGGCTAGAGCCATTTAAGAGAAAGGGTGGTAAGAGAAAATCCAAAGAATTTTGGATTGAGAAGAGTATAAGAACCCTTCCAAGTGGTGAAACAGGGAGGGTAAAGGGAGAATGGGTAGGAAAGAGGGAACCGATTACAAGGAACTATATGTGACCTCCTCCCTGGGGGACAGACAACAGAAAAGTGGGTGAAGGGAGAAGTCGGACAGAGCAAGATATGACAAAATACCCATTTATAAACTATCAAGGACACATAAGGGACAGGGGAGCGGGGAGGGAGGGGAAAAATGAGGACCTAATGTCAGGGGTTTAAGTGCAGAGAAAATTTGAGAATGATGTACAAATGCGCTTTACACAATTGATGTGTGTGTGGATTGCGATAACAGTTGTATGAGCCCCTAATAAAACGCTTTAAAATAAATAAATAAATAAATGATTTTTTGAGGAGTCCAAAAGTATTGCTATGAAGTCATCAAAACATTAATCACAAAAAATATCAAAATGGGTCAACAAACAGACCTTGAACTATTTACAGGGTTTTCTTTTTTGTGTCAATGGTTTTGTTGTTGTTGTTTTCTCTTTTGCCACTTTGTTTTGCTGTCTTGTTTTTTTGTGCATATTATTATCTCTGCAGCACTATCTAGATAAGATAGGTTGGATAAACAATATGGTGGAGAAAACAATGGGACCGATGGTTCCGGGGGGACATGGGAGAGGGTAGGTGGGGGAAAGGAAGTGGTGTTAACCTACCCAGGGACAAGGAAAAAACAAGTGATCCAAAATCGGTGGCAAGGAGGGTGTAAGAGACTTGGTAGGGCTTGATCAAGGGCAATGTAACCAAGAGGAATTACTGAAACCCAAATGAAGTCCCAGCATGATAGTGGGACAAGAGGAAAGTAAAAGAAAATAGAGGAAAGAGCTAGGAGGCAGAGGGCATTTATAGAGGTCTAAATACAGGTATGTACCTAAATAAATATATTTATATATAATGATGAGGAAATAGATCTATATGCGTATATTTATAGGTTTAGTATTAAGGTTGCAGAAGGATATTGGGCCTCCACTCAAGTACTCCCTCAGTGCAAGAACACTTTGTTCTATTGACATTCCATTATGCCCACCTTCCCAACACGGTCACTGAAGACAAAGCGGGTGCATAAGCAAATGTGGTGAAGAAAGGTGGTGGTGCCCGGCTGAGAGGTCTAGGGTCTTGAAGGCTTGAAGGTAAACAAGCAGCCATCTAGCTGAGAAGCAACAAAGCCCA